GAATATGTGTATCTTTTTTCCCCTTTCAAAATCCAAAAAATGAAAGCCCCCTTTAAGTTATTGCAAAAAAGTCGTATGTTCTCATGCATAATTCCCTCTTGTCCCAATTATACTTTTTCGGGAAATGGGAAGGGAGAAAGTTGGTTAGTAGGAAAGTGGTTCCATTGATCAATTTTCTCGTGTTCTTTTTTCGGTAAGTTGTGGGCCTTCAAGTAAAGTTATTTTCCCTAAGTGGCACTTAGCCCTTGTTCATTTTTTAGGAAGTGGGGGCAAATTGGTGGGTTCTATGAAAAGAAATAAACCTACATTTGTATTTCCGCATTAGTGAGTCACATGGACAGGAATGACACCCAAGTGGCCCATTTACTTGGGCAACTAATACCCTTCTAAGACTTGGGTAAATCACTTATCCATTCGCATAGAAAATTGGTAATACATGATGAGACAATATTTCTCCTCCAATAATAATATCACTTTTTTTTTATAAAATAGTTATTCTACAATTTTACCCAAGGAATAAAAGAACTCCGATGAGTGCATTTACTTTGGTAAGTGTTCCCTTAAAACAATTGCTTGGATAAGTGCATTAGCCACATAAGTGACTTACCAAGACGCGAGGCCATAGGGTAAGTGATACACATCTTCTAGTTGGATATTTAACTTCTCACTTGGGGGGAAGTTTATAAAATAGAAGAGGACAAATCTTCCCATTCTAACAATGGCTTTTTATGGGTAAAAATATCATTATATAACTTACTTGAGAATAAAAAAGAATATGGGTAAGTGAATTTACTAAAATAAGTGTTTCCCACGAAACATAGGCATTTACCTATGTAAGACTTATTCAGGTAAGTGGAACCGGGTGGGTTTCTAATAAGGGTAAAATACAAAAACCTCCCCTCAAGTTTCTGACAATCATAAAAACCTCCTCTATAGTTTAACTTTAGCAAAAACCTTCTTTCTATTTTCAAAAAAAAATGACAAAAACCTCCCTTCCGTCAATGATCAAGACGAAAAATGTTAAACCGATGATAATTTTTCTTCAAAATACCTATTTTACCCCTCCGGCTGCAATGCATGGCACAACCATGAGTTCTCTCTATGCGGCGGCGATCTCTTCGTTTCTAGTTCCAGTCGGCTCAACCATTTCTCTGGCGAGATCCCGACATCACTTGGGAGATTGCCAGTGACAGTGAGCTTCGATCTGAGGCATAACAACCTCACCAGAGAAATCCCTCAGACTGGAAGGTAGACAGCTAGGATGAGCCTTTCCCCGGCATCACTTTCTTCATGTAGTTTTCAGTTTCGAAAGAGGAAACCTCGTGCCTTTCTCTCCAATTTAAAAGCTACCCTCGTATCTTCCTATTTGTCCAAACTCCTCCTTGCCCCTGGAGTTCCGTCGGTAGATTGATGAAATTTCACCGAGAATCCAGTAAATATGACGGAGAATTTCACAATCGCTTCTTTCCCGGTGATCTTCTTTGATGGGGAGCACAAAATCGACCTCAACAACGTCAACGTGCATTTGTCTCTGGAGTTCAAGAATTTTCAATCCTTTTTGAGTCATAAAATCAAAATCCCTCCTCAGCAGATCGCCATTTCTCTCATCCGTCGGAAACCATCAAGATCATTACCGGGAAATTGCCACAGAATTTTGATTACCGACAAGATAGATTTTTCTACAATTCTTGAAGACAAAGATTGCTTCTTCTTCGTCACAATGATGAAGCGGTCGAGGAGGGAGAGAGGAGGGATAGGGGATAACTACATACTGCCTTGACCAATCGATTTCCTGCATGAGAAAATACCTCCACCAGATTCGATGGGATTCTGGCATGTTATTGCCATTCTATAGTCAAACTGCAACGCCAGAGTGTTTATCCATAGGACAAGGGATGCTGGGGTTGGGGTGCGCGGATTATGAGAATCATATATGGAAGCTACAGGGGATGAGAGAGAAGTTCATGATGTCAACGACAAACACATACATGAACCCATGTCCATATATAGAGCACAAAAGCGTTACAAAGCATATCCCGATGAATAGTTTAGTATTAGTCGTCTGCGAGGTGTGTTCGGATGCAAAAGGCAGAGGTACCATTTTTCAAATGCATATACGATGCCGTGACGGTGGGGTTTCACTCTTCGGCCGGTCCAATTGCTAGGCTGCCCAAATCCGGTTAGCTTGATTCTTACGTTATTAATTTCTGGGTCCATTGTTTCTTTGATCAATTTGTTTATTTAGGAGGCTCATCCCAATTGTGTGCGTTCCAGTTTGAGGGATTTCTTCGCTGAGGTTATTATGCCTCAGATCAAAACTCACCGACATCGGCAATCTCCCAAGTGATGCTAGGATCTCGTTGGAGAAATGATTGAGCCAACTGGAATTAGAAACAAAGGGATGGCCGCTGTAGAGCGAGAACTCATGGTTGTGCCATGCGTCGTAGTTAGAGGGGGTAAAATGGGTATTTTGAAAAAAATTATCATCGGTTTAACATTTTTCATCTTGCTTATTGACGAAAGGGGGTTTTTTGACAATTTTTTTGAAAATAAAAAAGAGGTTTTTAGTAAAGTTAAATTATAGGGGAGGTTTTTATGATTAACAGAAACTTCAGGGTAGATTTTTGTATTTTACCCTTCTAATCTGTATTATATATATATATAAAGCAAACTATAATAATTAGGCAAGTGCAGTCCTTGTTGAGTAATTGAGTTGGCAATTAATGCATCCATAAGGAGGAAGCATGAGTCCAAATCAAGCCTCTAGATGGGGAAGCTCTCTATTCTCCAAGTTGTGCCGATGGGTCACCAATCCCACTCTCTACTTGATTGTGAATATATTGGCATTGAAGTCATTTTTCAGAGGCGTTTTCTGGATGCTAGCATCATGTAAGCATTTTGTTCTTTTCCCTACTTTTTCTAGTTTGATTGAATGTTTTCAGGTTGATCCAATCAAACAGTAAATGCTTCATACTTGTGGGAGCAACTTTTGCAGAAAATATTATTTTAATATTTCTTACCATAAAAACAAAATACCAAACAACATTTTCCCTCCTTTGATTATGTAGCACCTAGTCACACTAATAGCAATATAAAATATGCATAGAACTCGGAGTTATTTTACCTATTTGAAAGCATGATTGTTGTTTCCAACCATGCATGGCAATGATTCCAAATACTTTTTTGTTTTACATTGTGGGAATTTACAAAAATAAAAAAAAATAGAAAATATTACATAATAAATATTAGAGAAACAACCAACAAATAGAGATTTGTTTATAAATTTTTGTTGTTTTACTCTTCTACTGTCAAATTAAGATTTTTGAAAGTAAAAAACCCTTATGAAGAAATGTGTTTTTTTCTGTTTTTTTTTTTTTAGCCAAGAAGTTTAATTTGATGTTGAAAATGGCCAAACAAGTAAAGTGCAAACTAGACTTCAAATGATCTTGTAATCGAATTGCTCACAAAGTTGCCACTACCAGGTTTTTATCCGAAGAAAAGGATTTTAGTTTTCATTTTTCATGTACTTTCTCATGCACCTGGTCATTACCACCCGATTTTCTTGATCTTATTTTTGGACTCTGATGTATTTGTGTTGAATTGATGCTCGGCATTCTTAAAAAATAAATAAATAAATTCAAATGGAATATCACATTTTTTAGGTCTATATTTTCGTTGAAAGGTCAAAGTGCTTTAACGTACATTTTGCATGTTCGGACCGTAGTTTATAGCAGTGTTTTCAACCATTATTGGCCCAACCGGTCGGACTAGTGACTCTATGACCCCAGTGATCATAATTCTGGTTCGTGTCATCCTCTAATCATTTATATTACATCATCAATTTTCTATATTGATTAATCGAAATCAAACCGATACCTTTAATTTTTTAAAACATCAAATTAAAATCGAATTATTGAACCGCTGGCCTGTTGACCTAAAAGAAAAAACGGGTTAACCTCCGGGTTAGTGGAGTTTTCATTAATCACCCTCTTCCATAAGAAATATCGGGGTTTAAATGGCAAGACTTTGAAAGTTTGAATCACTGAAAAATGGCAAAATCGTGTTACTTATTCAGCATTTTTCATTTTTGTTTTCAAAACTTACTTTAGAAAATTAGAACATTACTGAAATGTGCATCGTTTCTGAAAATGTTGTTGCTGCAAGGGGCTCATAATGCCTAATGGGGCTCCCATGCATTCTTACGAAGTTATCCCTCTTATTATTATTACCTGACCACCTTTGAGTCTTTGACTGTTTTTGTTCCGCATTGTCTCGAAATCTCCGAACACTCTGATCTTCTCTTTTCTTTGTCTGGATTTTGGAGAAATAAAGTCTGTTCTCTTGTTGTTCACTGGGCGAAAGAGAATAGCATTCTTCTTTTTCTTTTCTTTTGTTTTGTTTTTTTTCTTCTTTAACAACGTAAAATTCTCTGAGTATATTCTTTATGCTGTTAAATCACATTAATCCAACTTGCCTAAAAGAAGAGGCGCTGTTAAATCACATTAATCCAGCGGCATGATTACAACCAGAGTGATTAGTTTGCTTCACCTTCCGATTAGCTTACCAAACATCAACTGCTCAAAATACCTGCTTGTTTGACCAGAAAAAGAAAAGCGGGAGAAGTCGAGAAGTTCATTCTGGTTGAGAAGTTCAGAGCAAGAATTGCATCAATAATCAAATCGCCCGTGATTACAAACTATTTTGAGTAATGCTTTTGCTTTAATTGGGATTACAGAAAGAATTGTATCAAAATCATCGCCACCCCTCAAAAGCAATTTATCAGATCACAGTATTTTGGAGTACATTTCTCGCGATAAATTTGCTCTGGGGAGCAAGATGCGTGGGGTGGTGTGGGGTACAAAATATAATAATAATTGCTTTGCACTTATGGCGGCATGGCTATACGTACGGAAAGCAAACGTCCACACACAGGAAAAAAACACAGTAAAATCGTTTCTGATAAGTTAAAAAATCCTTTTTCTTTTATTTTTTTTCTTCTGTTTCCAAATTCCAATTCAGTCTGCTTCTCCCTCACTCGTAGAGATTTTTTCCTCAACTTTTCTGCAGAGAAAGTAGAAGAGAAGAAAGTCTGTCTTGCTATAAAAAGGATTTTCTTTTCCGCCTCACTTCTCCCCCCCCCCGGTTTGTTCATCGTCAATCAACTCCAATCCTTTCACCAAAACCAACAAGGCAACAACCCACACTGATAAACCAGAAAACCAGCCAATCTGCATCTCTCTCTCTCCTGTACAATAAACACATTCACAGAGCTGGTATAGGTGAGTTTTTCGTTTTTCTTTCTTTTTTTTTCCTGGGTTTCTCTGTTTAAAGAAACTAGGGTTTTGCAAGATTCTTCGCTTAATTTGGAAAAATGCCGCTCCTTTTACTCTTTTCGCTCAAAACCCACTTATGTTTTATTCTTCTATGCCGCTCTGTATACTCGACGTGTATGTTTATGTATAGAGCTATGTGCATATCTTTTTCGTCAAATCTCATGCTGGTTCGGTTCATCTTGTGCGAAGGATCGTCAGATTATTCAGCGGAAGATAATGGCGAGAGAGAAAATTCAGATCAGGAAGATCGATAATGCAACTGCGAGGCAGGTGACCTTCTCGAAGAGAAGAAGAGGGCTTTTCAAGAAGGCCGAAGAGCTCTCCATCCTCTGTGACGCTGAGGTTGCTCTCATCATTTTCTCTTCTACTGGAAAGCTTTTCGAGTATTCCAGCTCAAGGTCTCTTTCTGTCCCCTTTCTGATTTTCTCTCTTCTTTGTTCAGCTCCAGTAGAGATCTAAGTGAAACGCATGTCACTCCCATGGATGCATTTTCTATATCTGCTCCGCCGGGGAGGGGGGGGGGGCGGTGTTGAGCTTGTGAAGTTAAACAGTCTCACCAAGTTTTGGTCTCCCAACGTTTGCTCATTTTCCGAAGCTGAAACGAGTATTTTCTCTTGTGAAGAGATCTTAATAACAGGAATAAAACAAATATCAGAAACAATGGAATTGTAGTGCACCGAATCCAACCATTACCCGACTGTCCAAAACCACGAAATCTCAAAAGATCGAACTGGCTTTCGATTCTTTCATGTCGCTACTGTTAGAATAGTCTGAAGTCTGATCTGGGTTCTCTCTAACCGATGAGATGAGCTCTCTCTACATCTCTTGGCCTAAGGTCGGGTACGATCCTTGCTCTATGTGGAGTAGGTAATAGCGTTGGCTCGAATAACGCACTGACGAGTGGGAAAACTGTATCTCTCAGCTGCATTTCATGTCGGAGCCGAAGATCCTGGGTCGCTTATATAGAACTCTAAGTATCTTATTTGGCCGTACAGCTTTCCGTCCTTGTTTTTCTTTTCCTGGTGTCTCGCGATGTTTTGCTCTCATAATTTCATATATGTTCCTCTCGCTGTGCTGCTTTTCTCATCCATGTAATCAGGAATTCTGAGTTTTTAATCAAGGATGCTGTCGTGGTTTCACTGGAAACAGAAGAAGACCCATCAGTTTGGTCTTGTTTTAGCTTTGATTACAGTAGTATTACAGTAACAGTTATTAATGTCTTTTCTACGTAATTTAATTCTATTTTGTTGTCATTCATTTATTGTTAGCGCTGCTATACGTCGTCTGTTCCTTATCTGTTCCAAATACATGGAAAGGAAGAAGAAAACACGAAAAAAAAAGTAATTAACATCAAGAATCAAGGGCGACTGATCCATTAAAATTCATTTGGGCTCTTCTGGCATTAACGTGTTTGTATTGGAAGCTTGATCATATCTAGCTTCCTTTCTTCTTCGTGCATTAAAGCTTTCGCAGTTCCTGGGAACTAACTACCATTACTTAGCATTGGAGCTGGGTAACCCATTAGCCACCTGAGTCCCTACTAAATGCAAAGCTTCTGGCCATGTTTCAGACTTTCAGTCGCTACATCCTGCCACTGTACAGGTCTAGTTAACTGGAGGTGAGTTTTGAAATTGTTTCGAATTCTGATCAGGAGCTTTCATGGTCCAAATAAAGTGGATTAATTCATGCACGAGTCTGGTTATACCCAGAAGTAAAGCCATAGCTAGAACAATACCCAGGATCGTATTTTTCCCTACCTTGTTAACTATATTGAGAAGTTTCAAATTGGATTAGCCACTGGGTATGCTTTAATTTTCGAACTGAAACTTCAGATGCTGTCATCCTTGAAGTTGCTAGCAATGATCTGTTTGTTTCAGAGATATTAGAGACAATAGGAAGGTGGAACTTACTTTAGAAAGCAATTGACTTAATGAATTAATTACATGGTTATCTTTGGTTTCTGCAAATTGGTGCCTCCATTTGTTGTAGTCATGTTTTAGTGAACCTTTAATTGTAAGGCAGGTGTGTTGGCTTGCGAATAGAAATTCATTGACACAGTTGGAGTTGGAGCATTAATCAAATTCGGGTACAGTTTATTAACTGGGTTTGAATTTAATTAGTTTACTTTTTATCGTGGCATTTGGATTGCTATTGTGTGAGAGGAATATTTAATTTTAAGTTTTTTTTTTCTTTTTTTTTACTTTGCAACACAAAATTCATTACGGTGCACAACATTATTTTGGCTGCAAACCCACTTTGAGAAACTAGTTAGGCTATATTTGGATTAGCTTCTGATTTTGAATCTTGGACTGTAGTAAACAAAAATGTGATAAAGAAGTATTTTAAGTGTTTCTTTTAAAAATATAATCTAAAGTAAAACCACTTTTAAGCCCCCAAACATGGGGCTTTGAAAATGCAAATCCTGAGGCTTATCCAAACGCAACCTTAATTAGTTAGACTAAGTTCATAAAAAATAAAAAATAAAGGATTTTGAACACATGGAGGGCAAAAGGGGATCCAAAGAGAATTTAATCATTTAGTGATTCCGTATAGGATCATACAGGGAGATGCTTTTATATAGAGTACTGATCATATGTTTAGTTCTTATCATGCTTTAAACATTTATTAGTACAAGCTTTACATATTTTACAATGGCTGTTGTTGAAGGTAATTATAAATTGAGCTACCTTAATGAACTAATTGATGAGGATTATTATACTATATTTTTCTCTTATCCCAATTGATTAATCAAACTTATCAAGACAAATATTGAATTAAATGCATGCGACTTCTTGTCGGGTAAATTTCTAACTTCTAAGAAATTGAGATTAAATGCATGGAATTGCATTTCCATTGAATTTTTCTTAGTGTTCCCATTCTAAGTTCCTTAACTATATTTCTAATGGAATATGATTCAAGGATTTCCGAGGGTACTGACTACTGACATGGTATCTAAAGCATAATTGGAGTTGGTGTGTGATAATGGAATGGGGACCCCCGGCCAATTTTGTTGTTATTTTTTAATCTTCAATCTACCCTAGGTGGGGGCTGGTCATCATTGAACTTTTGACCCCTTGTATTATGATTTCTTTTCTTTCCTGTCACGTGTTGCTTTAAGCTTTTTAAATCAACTAATGGGGAAGGTGACTTTTGGAACTAATTAGGCTGTGTTTGGTTTGATAGAAAATAATCGGAAAAAAAACTGAGGGAAAGGTCCTAGTATATTTCATATTTTAACAACCTTATTACAACTTACTGTTTCTACCCCTATTTACTAAAATTATTATCACACCAAATATAGCCTTAAAAAGTTTTAAGGACCTGAAAATTCTTTTTTTTTTTTAATGTTTTGATCGGCTGTGTTTGGTTGCAGTGCAATTTTATTTTTACTAGTACAAATGCATAGGAGCGCAAATGAAAAGACTGTAAACAAAATGACATCAGATTTGCACCCAAAACATTTTCACTACCATAGTTCTGCATCTATTTGCACTGCAGCCAAACATAGTGTATCAGTGCATTTGAAAATTAAAACCTACCCAAGCCTAATATATAGTGTATCAGTGCTTCTTGGAAACAATACTTAGCGTAGGATACACACCAATATGTTTTGATACTTTGAACCTTGATTTTATCTTTCTTTTGTGAAACATTCCCATTGAAATTTAGAACATTGAACAAATAGCTAATCATTATAGGAGTGTGGATTCCTTCCACCTTTCTCCAAAACCTTCCCACCCTGGATTTCTTGTTCTCGGTTTTCAAATATATATATTTGTTTTTTCTGATATTTCTTTCAGAATTATAGGTCCTAAAGGGTGCTCCCTGGATGTTGAATGTTGTGATATCCCATTCGGTAGTGGTAAGATGGAAAGCCTTACTGCTTATATTTCGAATGCTTCTTCTTTTATCTACAATACATAACTTTCCATATCCACATCTGTGGATAACATAATGAAGGCTCATTAAATGATCCAAATTGGACGAGAAAATATTGCTTGTTATACTGAAGGTCAGGTCCTACTTGATTACTTCCTTGGGCTGGTATGAAAATTAAAATTGACTTATCTAGTTTAGTCATCCAAGAAGATGATATGGAGATGGACCTTGAATGATCTATTAATAGCCCTCAAATGGGTCCATGATTTATACGGGCTTACCACTGGGAACACGAGTGAATGTAGACTCCATTAGGTTGTGTTTGGGTTGTGCTAGTGGAAGTTAGCAGAAATGAAGTGACAAGCCTCTAGGTGTCATTTTTCACTTTTTCTAACATGCAAATTTAGACGGTGGGAGTTTCTTGTTGAATTCTGTTATGCTGAAAAATGGATCCTTGGATGGACTTCAATGATTTGGAGAATTGTCTCTCCAACCTCTCCATGTCTAAACCAACCCCCCAAAAAAGTCTTGCATAATATAGTGTTCTAGCTCTTGAACAAGTTATTGACTTAATGAGAATTTTTAGGAATATTCTGTACTTGAAAGAGCTACCTTCTTCGTCCTATATAAATTTTGGAGTATTTGTGTCAAGAATATTGTTGGTGCGTATCGATTGTTTCAGTACCATTTTAATCATGGTTAAACAGGCGTACCGGCCACCTGCCTGCTGACACAATATTATTTGATATGCCCGATATGGGTCGTATCATGTCAAAATTTTGAACCTTTATATTGTTGTTATGGCTGCATCCATTTGGTATGTGTGCTTATGTATCTTAGCATATATTGCCATTTTTTTCAACTTATATTTATGTTGACTTTTTTATTGGTATAAGAAACTAATAGCCTAGAATTTAGTCTTTCTTTTTCTTACAAATTTTATCATTGCTCTACTATCACCATTAATTGTTTATGTTGCCTTGGCAACTATATTCTCATGATTTGTACCTATTTCAGTGTTTTCTTTTTACTTAAGAATTGAAGTCTTGATTGAAGGTATCTCTGCAATAACAGTGTAGAGGGCAGGTTTATTGAGAAGAAAGTGGGTTACCCAAACTTGGGCGAGTCGTGAAGATCCATTGACTTAGGCAAAAACTATCAACCAAGATGGTCGAACCATTAAATCGTTTGAACCACTGTTATTACTTTTGAGTTTTGAGACCCCAATAAAGTTTTGAAACACATTAAAACAACAACCAAGATGGTCGAACCATTAAATTGTTTGAACCACTGTTATTACTTTTGACTTTTGAGACCCCAATAAAGTTTTGAAACACATTAAAACAAGTGTTATATACAAATTTTAGCCAATGAATTAAAAAAGAAAGGAGTGAGTACAAGCTCAAGTCCCCAACCCAACTCAGGAAATTCTTCATTATAGCAGGCACTGGCATTTATCTTTTTTTTTTTTTGATAATTAACTGTGAGTTTATTAATTAAGGAAAAGAAAAATACGTTTACAACCACTTTACAGGCAAATCTGTTTTTTGTTAGTCAACTTAGTCTAGAATCTTCTACCTAACCCCATCGGCCCATCTAAACACATGCCTAGCAATCATTACATGGTATGGGATGACCAGACTGTTTCTGGGTCTTTGAGCCCATTTGAAGCTTCTACCAACTTCTCTCTCTAGTCATTTTGTTGTTCTTTTTGTGACGTGTTGACAATTTAATATTGTGACAAAATTTGGCCAATATTCTTGAGATGTATAAATCAAGGGAAGAGACCAATTAATATTGTGACAGAAATGAATCAGTTTTTTTTTTTTTGTTCATTCCTACATCAATTTCAGAATTTTTGGGTAATTAGATATTGGTACTGATTCCTTTTTTTTGTATTTTTTAGTTATAGGTGTCTTAAGAATAGAGTTTTTAAGTGTTTCAGAGATTTACTATTATTTTAAAATTACTATTTATTAGTAACTTTGATGCTTACTATTTATAGTAATTCTCGTAATTACTATTTGTAGTAAATTCATAGTTTACAGTATTTATTAATTTTTGGTTTGTTTAGATTAAGTTGGTTTATGTGGGATTTGGAAAGTGTAAAGGGACATTTCAGTTTATAAATTGATGTTGATTTGGGCCAGTTTCTTAGTCCAAGTTTGGAGTTTGTAAAGGGACATTTTAGTTTATAAATTGAGTCAATAAATTGGGTCATTGCAATTGATTTGTTGAAAGTAAAGTATGGTTTAGTGAAGTTGGGTTTGAATTCTCAACTCCCATGGAGCCTTTGTTGAACCATGAACTGCTTTTGATTAAAGATTATGGCTATTATGGCACCATAGCTACTCTTGAATCCTCTACTCCAATGCAACCATGCATACTCAATTCTTCTAACTAAGATCGTAAATTTTGGCCAGAATAAACCACCCAAATATTTTTTATATTGTGTCAGTTACTCTATCCAAATTTGTACGCAAGCAAAATGAAAGAATTGACTGAACATATTCCAGAGCATGTCCCCTGGTGGTTGTTGTCGAATGTTGACATATATCAGTTAATAGATAAAGAAGGATTAGATTTAAAAGAATTAGATTTATGGACGTATTGAAAATAGAGGTTTTGAATTAAGTAGGACTAGATTTGAATATATGCAATGTATATAATCTAAATAAGAATTAGGGAGGAATTCTGGCTACACTTAAGACCAAGGGATGTCTCAATATGACCTCTTTATTGGTTTGAAGGAAGAGATTGAGCAGGATGTCTCCCACAGAATTAAGTAGGACTAGATTGATGCAAAGTCTTGGACAATCAAGACATGTGTCTGAAAAACAAATGTGGCTGAAATGCAAATGTTGAAACAAGTGAGTGGTGAAACTAGGAAGGATAGAATCAGAAACCTAGAAATTGTTCCAATGGGTGACAGAATGGGGCAAGCTAGACAGATGGTTGAGCATGTGCAAAGAAGACCATCTCGAGCACTAGTAAGGAGTACTATCACATGTTGAAGGGGATAGAAGAGCTAGGGGCAGAGATCATGGATGTGCTGAGTAGTGAGAAATGATTTAGGGGATTGAACATAATAGCAGAACATGGTTCATGTGCTTGACTCGATATGGATTGGACAAGGCTTATATGATGATGATGATGACAACTTTTTCAACAAATTTAATTTTACAAAATTCTCGAATCTTAAAAGCCATGCTTTTAACTAACCCACCCACCCCCCAACAAACAAAAAATAAAAAATAAAAGAAAAGAAAAAGAAGAAACTCTTTGGTTTGGATTTCTTCCTGATTTTGACACTTGTAACATTAATCCTCCATTTATTTTTTATGCAGTTGTGTAGGCATTTTACATCTTGTAACCACTTAAATTTGGTATTCTATAAAAATGTGTTTTTTGATCATCTTGGTCGCTCTGAATTTGGCATAATGCACGGATCCTGGTGCTACTTGAATTATTTTGTCATATATTTAATATCTCTCGTTATTTCCCTCAAAAAAAAATTATAATAGTTGGTTCCTGTTTAAAATTGTGATGTAAGAGTGATTTGTCATCTTTGCACCATTACGGCCAATAACTTTGTCATTGGTTTGTCTTCTGAAGTATGAAGGAGATACTTGAAAGACATAATCTACACTCAAAGAACCTTCACAAACTGGATCAACCTTCTCTTGAGCTACAGGTATCCTGATCTAAGTTATCTTAATCTGGTGTTTTATACATCAAAATGGAACAAAATATGCATGGAAAGTTGACCTCCTTGTAGTATTAAATCCAGGAGAGAAATAATATCATTCTTAGGTGCATGGAAATGGGTGGTAGATGCATCTCTTGACAGGATATTAGTGTAGCTTGATCTTTGTCTTCGAATAATTCTGCCAATTATGGATTCTAGCAGGTGAAAATGCATGATAATTTTCCATTTTGAATAGCAATTACTTAGACTGACTCTCAACTCTCCCTGAACCGTTGACCTAGAAGCTTAAGCTGTTAGTTGAGGTCCCTGAATAGGTTTTCATCCCTTCATGGGACACAAGCCCATCCATACCTTGTGCTGAAATTTAATTGTTATGGGGGTGATGAGGATCTGACACTAGCCATTTGGTCTAAAAAGGTCAGATACCATCTCAAGGAAACCGCTCAACCTAAACGCTTAAGCTATCAGGTGAGGTCCCTGAAATGTGTCTAAAAGCCTAACCGATTTCTGGCACGTGTAGATGTAGTGCAGAGATCTAGGCCCAGTAATTTGTAATTTGCTCCTTCTTAGGACGAACTAGACATTTTTTTCGTGTGTCACCGCTGGAAACTTCTGGGCCAGAAATGTGCTTGAAACATGAAACATAAAAGCATCTATGTACATAGAAAATTCAGGGAAAGAATAACATGAAGTAGATGGCTGTAACCCATGCGAGCATGCTTTGCCTATAGTAGCTGGAATCGTTAAGTCTTGGTAGGAGAGGACTGTTCTCTGATTGGATTTGTCATATTTGTTATTCCTTATCACTGAAGCATGGTGCAATAACATTCTCGTTATAGCTCCCAACTTCTATCATAAACCATAAATATGAAATGTAAGATTTAATTGGCTGTTTCATTTTGTCCTTTTAGCTAGAGAACAGCAACTATGCGAGATTGAGCAAGGAAGTTGCAGAGAAAAGCCATCAACTGAGGTGCTAATCTTTCTCTGTTGATTTAACCTCCTTGGCTATTATTCATGTTCAAATGTTGATTGATCACCTTTTACATGTTAGGCAAATGAGGGGAGAAAACCTGCAAGGGTTAAATATTGAAGAACTTCAGCAACTAGAGAAGTCCCTGGAAACTGGTTTGAGCCGTGTGCTAGAAACAAAGGTTTCTATTTTTCTACCTGTAGATTGTAGTATTACCATGAAGTCAAATACAATTTTAGCTGTAATTTTTCATAAACAATGCAATTTAAGCTATTCTCATGATGCATGGTTTATTTTATTGGTTTTCAGGGTGAACGAATTATGAAAGAGATCAGTACACTACAGAGAAAGGTTAAATGACTGAACTTCAACTTCAATATTACGAGGATTTACAAATTACTAGTAACTTCTACTCGTAGGCATGTTTCAAAGTACCAATATGCATTATAAGTAATTTTTGCATATCCCACAATCAAGGTTCAAAATATCATACAGGTGTATCGGCCCGTATCTTGGCTTGCCTTTTATTTTATTTTTCTTTCAAACTGCTTCAGAGGGGTCGGTTTAAGGCCTGTCTGCCCCCTGAACCAGGTCAGAGCCCGACACACCCCCTGTAGGGGTGTATCGGGAAGCCACCAAAGTCGAAATTTTGAACTTTGCCCACAATTTCAAGGGGTGATTCCCATCATAATCCTTGTTGCAACTATATGGGATCGCCTGCATGAATCCTTTTTCACCATTCTGTTCTGTTTAGTGTCATTTCCATCGGTTACATTACGAGTGCTTAAATCATTTTTTTGCTACTTGCATCCAAGTCATTCTTGGTCTGCCTTCTTCTCCCTGAATGGGCAATACTCTGGTTACAAATTGTTTCCGAATTAAGAATTGAGGCAGGCAATCTGTAGGAAGGATATGGAGTTATTGACTTTGAAAATGTTCTTTCCTCCTAAATCCTAAGTCCAGATCTGCTCCCAACAAACCGGGACAGTCACACATCGGGAACATATCTCCCCATGAATGATAAGGGAGATATTCCGAGTGTGCAGCTGCAGTGGCATGTTGGGAACGTTTTGTTGGTTGCAGATCGCTAATCCTTAAATCCTAATATTTGGAGTCTCTGTGGGTTACAAAACTGATGTGAAACACTGCAACATCTTGAACGTACAGATATCCTATGATACTCTACAGCTGCAGCCCGCACTTGTACGTACGTTGTCAATTGTCTGTTCCTGATTTGCGGCTGTGGTGTCCTGTGGGTTAGGTGTGGGCAGGGGTCGGGAGTGATATTGTGAACCTTACTTGTATGGAATGATTATTAATCGCAAGGTTAAAGGCCGAGTTTTCTTTTAATTTCTCTAGGAAAATACCTAAAATCATAATTGTACCTTGTCTATATAGCTTTTTATCAATCATATCTTACGCCTAAAGTATGTACCTTGCTTGCAGGGAGTGGAATTGTTGGAGGAGAATGAGCGATTGAAACAGCAAGTGAGAGCTTCCATCCAGTACAGTTTCCCTTGTACTTTTTCTTTGCTTCCTAGACTCGGTTTGGAAGGAGTACAAATGTAAAATATGTACAATACAGATACATACAAAGGTTTTGCACTCTATGGGTACTCCTTCCAAACTGAGCCTAATATATGCTATATTATTGGTTGGTGAAATTTTTAGTTGCAGATTGTGGAGATGTCCAAGGGACAAAGACATATTATTAGTGCTGAATCTGAGAACTTGGTATATGAAGATGGCCAGTCATCCGACTCCGTCACCAATGTGTGCAGCTCCATTGGTCCGCCTCAAGATTATGACAGCTCTGATACCTCACTTAAGTTGGGGTAAGCATCTGTTTTGTTTCTCTCAGAGATTTCTGATGGCAATTTGACTCGTCCCACCCCGCCTTGCCCTTCCCCAGTTGGTGTGGAATTTTTTACTGCTGATTGGGGTTCAAGGCAGGTGTCGAGAAACCCTATTTGTTCACCCGGCCCCAACTATATTATACAACATAATAAATAAATGTGTACAAACAGGAATGACGGGGGTGGTGTGGGTTGGGGAAAATTTGGGGATCCCTACTCCCTACAGGGGTTGGGGTTGGGATTTGTAGCCCCGATGTGCGTTGGGACTTGGAAGGGATATGATATGTGTGCATCATTTTTTAGTTTTTTATTTTTGCATTATTTAACAGCAAGGTTATTTTTATGTTATTACATTATAAATTAAAGTATCGGTACCATAAAATACAATACAATAATCGTATCGATACTTTCAATCTTGCTAATAACGTATTTTTTATTTGTATTTCCTCGCAGTCTACCCTATTCAAGCTGAAGGTTAAGGGACGGATGGTTGAAGAGATGATTAGCTGCAAAGAAGAGGAAGTTTTAAATCATATATCATATATTGGAATATGTCACCTTATAAAATTCAGATACAAAACTGTCCCAAATTGTACCTACGGTGTTATAAGTTCAGTTGAGGAGCTCAAAATACTCCTGGACAAACATCTCTATGGGCTCTTTTGTTCTTCTAAATTTCTAATCTCTCTCTGCATTACTTCAACAAATAGTAATCTGCAATTAGGACTCTTAACTTTCTATGGGCTCTTTTGATGCGAATGATGCATCCAAAATTAAATAAATATATTATACCATGAATTGAAAAACATTTTTAAATTAATATATAGATATCGTACATTTAATTTGTGGTTGGAATTGGAAACCCATTGATCAATTGAGTTTGCTATATATGGTTATTATTTCTTTTACGAGGATCATATATCAATAGATAATTTTGCAACTGGCTTTAAAAAAAATATATATGAATGATATCTTAAGAAACAGATGAATCGTAAACACACCCTGATTTTGTATTTCTAGGATTACCCTCTTAAAATGGCTAAAATTGTCAAGACATCTTATTTTATATTTCTAGGTTTTGCCCTTATTGAAATTGCCCCTCACATGCCTTGTCAGCCACCCTTTGTATTGGGAAGTGTGTACAATTATATTTCCAGGTTCGAGTCCAATTATATTTCGACATGTTACCGGGTGCTTTCAACCAGGAGTTCGAAAACCTTTTGCCTTCCATCTCAACCCTTTCCTCAAATCTGAATTCTCTTTGTAGAAATAGTCACTAAGAATTTGTTAGGATCGACAAATGACCAGTGGTCGTGGTTTTCTGAGAAAAATATAGTAAACCCTCCCCCTTGAAAATGGCGTCTAAAAACTGAAGTGCTAATGCTAATAACGAAGAACACTCGATGCTCTTTACAAATATCGTTAGATTCTGCAATAATAAAGCTCATATGTTGGTTCTTCTTGGTTAAGTTTATCATTCCTGTGCAGGTGTCGACGAAGTTATACAAAGTTTGAGGGTAATCAGGGGCGGATCCTAAGGGGGAGCCAAAAGTTAGTAAATACAGGTAGGAGAACCAAAATATAGGTAAGGTTAAAATGGATATTGTAGGGATTTTCAAGGCATAGGGGGCCATGACCTCCATCTGCCGCCCCCTGGCTCCGCCCCTGAGGGTAATTTAACTTTTGTTTTAATTTTTATTTTTGTTAAAGATCAAGCCGAAATGCACTAATCACTTCAAGGGGATTGTCCACAGAGATATTAAGGGGGAAGCTATTAACTAGACTCATTAAAAAGTAAAAGGCCTGCTTTCATTTTGCATGTCACCTCATGAGTTGTGCTATTGAACCTTCTTGGGAATGAAGGAAAGTCGAGTCTTTGAAATGGCTGGTTTCGGTCAAACACTTCATGCCAATAACAAAGAAAAGGATGAACAATGTCTGCTCCATGTGGAAAATGGGTCCAATGGCAAGTTTGGCATCAGATTTCACCCAAGTTCTTGTTGTGGTTACTCACCATATTGACCAACTTCCTGTTGTGGTCACAACTCACGAACAACTCAAGCCATGGCAAGAGCTCTAATGTATTACTGTAGCACAAATTGTAGTTGGCCTTAAGCCACCGGGAAGGAGGAAGAATCCAACTCCAATTACCCTCATTATGATCACTCTGGAATCCAGGATGAGGATGACATACTGCATTGTTGCTCCAAAGTAGCAATTTTGAAGTTGCTCTGGTTGCCCTTGTTTTATTTGTTTTTTCTTCTTTTAAATGTACATTTTTTCATAGAAAATGGGTTTTCATTTAGCCGGTTGCAGGTTTACTCCAACTCAGAACCTAATGACGTGTCGAAATATGATTGAACTCAAAGAGAAAATCCTTTCGAGTCTAAATGTTCTGGATTGGGAGTGGAAAGGGATTCTATAGATTGATCTAATAGAAAAATCTTTGTATTTTTTGACACTTGGTAGAGATGAAGTGCAAAGTGTTCATCTGGTTTGAGTTCAATGACAGTGAGAGGACGGGAAATGTTCAGAGTAATCAAACGAATTTGGTTTTCTATAAAAAAACCCTTGTTCTCTCTCACATCCTCATGTTCTCGTTGTTGGAGAATACATCCCATAAGACAAATCAAAGACCATTGAGATTGTTAAATCTTAATTCAACACTTGTCTATATAAAGAAGACGACTATGGGGCCTTTCGTGACAAGGAAGATGGAAAAGCTTCTCCTGGTGCTCTTCTTTGCTAGCTTCTTGCGTTTTCTAGTATTCTGCATAATGGAAATAAATCACCCCAATTCATAGTGGTTCGTTCTGAATCCAATTTTGAGACCAGATTGTACAGGGAGTCTTCGTGGATTTCAGCTCCCATTCGAGGAATTTCTTTCGAGAAGACGATCAAAGAAGGCTTTCACATGTTATTTTGAATGCTATTTGAGTCTATTATATTGGTTTACTGTTCTGTGATAATCCGTAGTTGTGTCTATTTTTAAATATATTGTTTTGTTGGAAAATTCATGGTTAGATTTCTTATTTTTAAGTCTATTATATCATGGACACTTAATTCAGGTTAAAGATGACCATTATTACTAGATTGAGTAGGTTATGGGGGGACTCAATTACTAATTTTATACAATTTTCTTTACAGAGATAGTGTGGGATCATTTCCACGTTCTTGATGTGCTTACTTGAAACATTTTCTCTGTTCTTTTATTCAGTTTTGCACGATTACTTTCTATTGGTGGAATGATTTGATGGGATTCTTTTGGTTTTATTTTGGGGTCTTAAAACTTACAAATATGAAGTTTGGTCGGCTTAGAAGAATTTGTTGACCCTTTTGGGGTGTCTGAAAATATTTCCTTGGGACCAAAGAAATGGCAATAGTTACTTTAAATTCTTTGTCATTTTTGTTTTCTTTTATTGTTTTAATTTATTAGTAATTGTTTTCTCTTTATTTTATCTGATAGTGAAAATCTAATGCAAATTGTTTTAAGTGGAACATACCAAAACAATCAAAATTTGTTCCATACAACTATAGTCTCTTCTATTTAGAGATGAGTTGAAGTGTTCAACCTCTTGTGCTACCAAATTTAATTGCTTTACTTCCTATTGTGTTGAGCTAAAGGGAAAAAAGAATATGCCTTGCAGGTATAATTATAAGACTATTTTCAAATTTACTCCTTCACTTATTAGATTCTTGTATGCTTGATATATTATTGTATGCCTATTTTGTTATAATATTTCATTACAGAACTTTTCTCTTCTTGTAGTAAATAGAATTTATGGATTCTAGTTAATTAATTATTTTTTAAGAGGTTTTCATGAGAATATTTTTTCTTGGATCTTATGAGGGAAATTTCCACTCACTAGCTCACAACAAAGATGCTGCATGTTGCTACTTCAAGGTCAATTACTTGTCATTGCCTCATTATATATATACTTTCTTGATGAAAATAATATATGCTTAAGGTGATGAGATCGAGCTTTATTATGTGTGGTGCAAAAATTGGTAATGGATGGTTAACATGTGTGATGAAATAATTTAGATAAACTATATCTATGTAGTCTATGGTGTCTAAGGAGCTGTTTGATAACATAACAGTTGAAGTTGTTGATCTCCCGAAAATCTTATTCACTAAAAGGCACAAGTATAAGCTTTTCAGTTCAACCACTTCAATTGTTGTTGAATGGCCCCTAAGCTAGGGAATGAAATCTATTATTTGAAAATTGGTGGATAGGCTTTCTAAATCAGTTTGTAATCCAATATAGGTGTCTTTCTGATCCACCCTCCCAAGATCTTAGATAGATGGAACCAACATTTGGTAAACTATCGGATGAAATTTTTTTCTTTAAAACCAATCTAAGCTTGAGAATGATGTTTGAGTCTGAGAGTGGCCACTTTTTGTCGGAAAGTTTGCCAAATGTTAGTTCCATATCTAGTCCACCCTCCCAAGACCTCAGATAAATGGGATCAACATTAGGTAATGGTCATTTTTAATGCTTTGTGTTTTAGGACTGATGCACTAAAATTATGTAGTCTTTTTGCAATGCATGTTGAGGATTGAATTCTATCACTTGTCAAATGTTGATAAAAATGGATTATCCAATGTTCTGGATAATCTGCCTTCATTTTAAACAAGTGGTGGTTCCTTTTGAATATGCCCTATCAGCCCCTTCCCTTGAATGATAGCCTATCTGTTTATTTATCCATGGTTCGAATATCCCATGCATTGCAAGGGCCATTCTATTAGTATCTACAAAAGTAAAAATGTATAATACAAGGTAAAACCACATTTTTACTAGAAACTATCATAAGATCAAGGTTCAAAATATGAGAGTGTATCAGTACTGTTTTTTATATGTTTTTTTTTTTAGAACGGGTTTAGAGGGATTGGTTTAAGATTAGTCTATCCTCTGAACCACTTGCTGACCCGAAACACCCCCTATAGGGGTGTATTGAGAAGATTCCGATATACATTTTGGCCAATATGAACCGATACATGACGAAATTTTGATCTTTGCATAAGACTTAACTTCCTAGTGGAACCTATTAAATTGGTGGTTCTTAACATGCGGGCCCATAATGGCAATATAGTATCAAGGTTTTAATTGGTTAAAACTTAAAAGGTCTCAATCTCATACAATAATTTGAAGCCCAACCTTCATTAAAATCAGCCATCTAGGACCTAGCTTCAAAGCTTTTTATAGGTGCTTATAGTGTTTCCTATATTAAGATTTTCACATTTATCCAATGAAATGAGGGTGATTTCCCAGCATCCTGAGTGACGGTAAAAGACAAAAGACACCCATTTACACGGATAAAATTATTTTTAAACATACTAATGTAGGAACATATACTATGCACACATGTGTACAAGTAAATATTAACCATATATGCTACATTATAAGATATATGATATTAGTTGGATAAGGCAAAGGCTTGAATGATGATGATGATGACCTGCATGAAATCCAAGACAAATATCCACTTTATATATTATAAATATTTTTTACCAACTAATTAGAGACATGATTCATCTTAGGTTTCACTTCTTCAAAAGTTCTACATACATTTTGTTCTTGGAATAGGCTAGCCCATGGGCTATCTCGCTAAATGGAGTCTTCCTTTGAGGCTTGAGAGAGAGAGAGAGAGAGCATTGGATCTATTGAATCATATAAGATTCAAATGCCAAAATTTAAGGTTCTGTTTTGTCAAATTCTGACTTAACTTCTATATGC